TTCCTGTTTAGCAAACGGTAGACGTCTTGGATGTTGCTTGATCGGGGGATGATCGCCGGTATCGATTCTATGTTGTGTCAAACTAGTTCGACCCACGTCAGAAGACGAGCGGGAGAAAGCAACTTGAAGATCCTTAATGATACGATCGGCAGCATTCCTCTCTTTATCGTTTAATTGCGCATTCTGCAATAACTCCGAAGTAATGCTCTCTGAGGACACGGACTCTTGGATGTTACTCTTTCTTTCAACGCTGGCTGGTTACTGGAGTACATGCTGCAACCACTTCACCTTTCTTAATAATTCTCCCCTTCTCAGTTACATTGGCGACTCTCACCGGGATAACCGTTCTGGGATAGGTCGACGAGTGTTGAGGCTACTAGTACTTACTCCTTTTGGGCTATTACAGTTATTGGGATATTCTATGATGCCGTAGCGGAAATTTCTGTTTTCGTTTTCGGCAATGGATCCAGGAAGTAAAATTTCTGTTCTTGTGCCGGTATTGTGATATTGTCTTGTGCTATGATTTTATGAACAGATTTAACTTCTTCATCATTAACTCCAAATAACGCTGTGTCCTCAGATGTAGAATGCAATTCGTTATTTTTAAAGTCCAAGGAAAAATTGTATTTCCTTAGAAAGTCCAATCCGACTATGCAAGAATCAGTGATCTCTGTTACATATGCCGTGTGATGGTAAGCGGCACTTCCAAACGTGATGTTAACATTTACTTTTCCATCGATGTCGATCTTCTCACCGGACACAGTCTGTAGGGTAACGCAGGGCGGCGTCTAGATAAGTTTGCTTCCCAGTTGTTCAGCCAAATCTTTTCGGATGATGGTAACGTTGGCTCCTGTATCTATCGTCATATTGCAGGGAACTCTATTAATATGTCCTATTATGAAAAGTCCATTACTGCCGCCTCTCACTGCAGAAATCTGAATCGCTTTAAACTGGGGCTTTTCATTATCTGGCAACCTCTGCCGCGCGAGATGGCCACTAATTAGTTTCCCTGCTGTTTGTTAGGAGCGGTTTTAACATCCGTACCCTGGGGTGTTTTGCAGTTTCGTCGTATGTGTCCTTCAGCACCGCAGTTCCAGGACTTTACGGTCGGTTTCTTGTCACCAATATTAAGTCTCAAGGCATTCATTTGTCTAGTTAAATCGTCTAGACGAGCAGTGACTTGATCCCCTGGCTCCTGGACTTGAGCAGCTCTGACTGGATGGCGGTCTCGGCGGGTGGCTTGCTGGGCTGCCTCGAATTTCATGGCGTACACTAAAGCGCTTTTCAGATCTTTAACATCCACCATTCGCAGTGCTTTCTGTATTTCAGGGTCCCGGATGCCATCAATGAAATATTGCAGGGACAGAATTTCCCTCGTTTCTCTCGGGCACTCCGTAAAGGCGAGGTGGGACAGCCTTTCAACATCCGTGGCAAGTTCCTGGAGTGATTCGGTGGGCTTCTGTTGACGGGATTTTAATTGAAGCCTGCTGTAGTCTTTTAAACATTTCTCGCCAAAGCGCAGCTCCAAGGCGCCGGACAGAGCTTTGAAATCTAACCTTTTGTTTTCGGGAAGAGTCTGAAGGATATCCGCTGCGTCGGCTCTTAAAGAAGCGGCGAGATGACAGCTTTAGCTTGGGAATCCCATCCATTCGCATCCGCCACGATAGAAAATTTTGTCTTATACACCTGCCAGGAGGTCTTCCCATCATATGTCGATAGCTTCAGAGAGGGACGAGCAGGCATGAGTAGAAATTTTAAACCATCCGAAGTGCTCCCTGCCGTCGCTACGAATTTCTTTAAAGTGTCAACTTCTTTGGCGACGACAGCAGAAATTCTGTCTTCGATTTGTTGTTCAATATGGACGGCAGAAACTCTTTCTTCAATTTGTTGTTGTAAGGCCGAAACTCTTCCTTCGACTCGTTGCTCCACAGCCGACACTCTATCTTCTATTTCATCTTTGACAGAAGAAACCTTTTCTTCAATTTTCCCCACTTTATTTTCGACAGCTCCTATTCTGTCTTCCATAGCCTCAAATTTACTTTCTATTACGCAGTTTATTTCTCTTTTCATTTCGTCTTGACCTGCTTCAATCTTTTCTTGTGCAGCTTTTTTTTTTTTATTTGTCTTCTTTAAAAGTTACTTGATCAGCTTCCAACTTTTCGTGAACGGCTTCCATTTCCTTTTTAATGGATCTCATCTCTCCTTTAACGGAATCTTGGCCCAATTTCATTTCTTCCTTAACGGATTCCTGGCCCAATTTCATTTCTTTCTTAATGGATTCCTGGCCCAATTTCATTTCCTCTTTAATTTCTTTTTTAAATGAGGCAAAGGCTGATATATAATTGCTCTTCCATCGCTCTTGTGGGCGTGGGTTCGAATCCCACTTCTGACACCAAAAATTGTTGCGTGCGTACGGGTTCGTTACGAAATGAATGCACAAGTCCGATGAAAAATGAACAAAAATTTATTATTATCACAACTAAAATGCTTAAATCTTCTCAAATTATCATGCAGTATTACAATATCTCACAGTAGTATTCTTTTAACTACTCAAATGTCCAATAGAACGTAATTCAAAACAGCTAATCCGCGAATTCGCTACAATCAACAAGAGCAGTTTTCTAAACAACAACAAACTAAGCAACTACTACAAACTGAAATCGAAATCGAAATCGAGTCAATGGCTAGGCGGCAATTAGTAGCCAACCGCTACTTTAACCGTCTCTGTTGGTAAATTGCCCTAAGGCGTTGGTACTTAAGTTTTTAATTAAGGCGATTTACGCCGCGCCAACTAGGCGAAACTTGTCAAATTTTGTGAAATGTAGGTGAGTAAGGGAGCCGCGTGACAGGCAGGAGCCTGTCACGTGGGTGGTCACCCAGCTTACGCGTACAATGAGAAATATTGGAAATATTAATAATTATCAAGTTTTGAAACAGGTTATCTAGATTGGAATAATTAAACTAATATCGCGATCTAAATGAAGACAAATGGCACAACTAAGTGCAACAGATTAGCTAAACAAAATATTCAAATTCATCCTTTCTGTAAAACACAGATTGGACAGTGGTAGTCACGTGGGAGTCACCCTCCCGTGAACTGTCCACAGCCCAATGCATCTTGAAATAGTAGATATCACAATTCAGTGAAGTCTTGGTCTGAGAAATTAAACACTAAAGTTCTTGTACAACACTGAGGCACATGAGTTACTGAAACTATACACTATGTACATATAGGGACGGCGGTATTTGAGCGAAGTGGCAAATGGTGAAAAACATTTTACACTAGCAATAAATAATCAGAGCTTTGAAGATCCAGGTACACGGATCATGTCCATAAGTCCACAATATTACAAAGTCTCTGATATAACAATAAGAAGATTACGAAAATGACAAATATAAGATCAGTGCTTTGAAGATCCAGGTACACGGATCATGTCCATAAGTCTATAAAGTTTCAAAGACACTGGTAAAATGACACAATGAAGATAAAATAAAGATAATAGTACTATGTACAATATATACACATTTCACCATTTGCTGTTATGGAAGATGCCTCTTGGGCGCTTTGCTGCAATTTCTATAGTAGGATCATAATTTATCAGATTACGGATATGTTCGTATTGAGAAAGTTCTATTTTAGCATAGAAATTGTGGCTCGTGGTGAGAATTTGATCATCTAATCTTATTTTTATTATTATTATTAGTCTTATTTTTAGTTCTTTATGTATCTGCAGGTTACGTACGAACCATGGGGAGTCAACAATTTGTCTGAGTATTTTGTTCTGAAAGACCTGTAGTTTGTGTCTATAAGTCTTGTACACAGTGGCCCAGATAGGCACTGCATAAAGTAGGGTGGGTCTTATTAAGCTGGTATAGATCTTCTTCTTGAGACTGATATTTAATTTAGCATTTCTTCTTATTATTAAGGGTAAAGAGACATTTTAGCAGCGGTGGCTTTGCGCAAGGCATACTCCGTGTGTTCTTTGAATAACAGCTGTGAGTCGAAGACCACTCCTAGATACTTGGTACTTGAAACAATTGCTAGGGCTTGATCATTAATTTTTATATTTACATTTACAGGAGTGAACTTCCGATGACGTCTGAAAAGGAGAATTTGGCTCTTTGACGGATTTACTTTTAATTTCCATGAATCATAATAGTGTGCTATGATATTTACTGCGCTTTCAAGTTTATCTACAGCGAGCTGAGGTTTTAGCGACTTGGTTAAAATTGCTGTGTCGTCGGCATATTTCACTACTTTTGCATTCAAAGGAACCGGCATATCATTCGTGTAGATATTAAACAGAAGCGGTCCCAGAACGCTTCCTTGAGCCACTCCGCTTTTAATTCTTTTTCTTGAAGAGAGAGAGTCATTAATTTTTACCTGAAAGGTCCTGTTTTTAAGATAACTTTTCATGAGCTTAATAAAACTGATGGGCAGATGAACAAGGTGCAGCTTGTAGAGGAGACCCTCATGCCACACCTTGTCAAATGCTTTTTCTTACTACAAACTGAGATGTTTTCCTCCTTTTATAAGATTTTTAAATCACGCGCTAGAATTTTCTGGTACTTTCTCGAAATCAAAAAGACATATTTATTTATTTAATGCACGTGCTCTTGTATTTTCAATTTTCCGGCTTAGCTTTCTTTTAATATTCGTCACGCGCTGCACTGCGCGAGAAATAAAACCTTTTAATTTATAATTGAACTAACATTAGCTTTTTAAATACCAAATTCGTAACAATATAATAAATAGTACTTATTTAGGAATTAGTAACGTTTATTATTTTTGGTACTTACGTATTAATGCAACCACTTTAGTAGAAGTCACCAAATTTTCAGAATGTGCCTAGTCATCCTCATAAAAATCCTTCCGTAAAGCAACGTCGCAATTTTCGTATACTTCTTTTTGTTGTATTCCAAGTTATACAATTTTTATAGACAAGCCATGATATTTTTTTGTCTTAAACTCAGTTCAAAATATGTGCTTGGAAACTACCAGTAGTAGAAGAAGCCGAAGTAAAATTTCTGCAGTATACTGTATTTTAGAACAAAATCGCTAAAGATGTGTTTGGCAGATTTAGCGATACGTAGTTCGTGCAATTCTCCGTTGTTTTTCAAGCGAAAAGAGATGTGCGCACGGGGAAAGCAGCGCAAAAAATTACAGAAGATTTTCGCAAAAAATGTAGGTATTTTATTTTTTAATGCATGGTTTAACCCTTATTTAATAATTACAATTTGTATTTTTAATTACTAAGTGTACGTTGTGATAAATATCGTTAGTTCAGTTATCATTTTCAAAAGGAAGTTGCGAAGATCGGCTGTTTGTACCTAATACTAAGTAAATTTACCTTTTCTTTTTTGAAAACATCACCAAACTGCGTCAAGCTGATGACGTTGATATGTAAGTAACTTATTTTTAAACTCAAAAAGTATGCATTTACTTTTAGAGAAATAATCTTTATTTACATTTATGGAGACTGTAATTCGGCAAATGCTGGTATAAAAGAATTAAATATTTTTTTCTTCTCTTACATAGTGCCACTACAAAGGGCCTCCTAAAAATGAATCCAAGTATTGGCGAGCCGTTTCTCTTTGTCTTTGTTTCCGACATTTGGTCGCAGCTTTTCTATAAATAATTTTATTTGGTGATCATTTTTACAGTTCAATATGCTAAATTACGTGTACATGTAACAGAATCACGCCTTCTTTTTACTTCCTTGTACGAAGTAAAAAGGAAGTATTGTAATAGCGAAAAGTTTCAGGCAGCATATTTCAACGAAAATATCCATTTTGACCGCTATCGAATGCAATTTAACTATGTTTTTGAGTGACATCTGTACGTAAGGACAGAATAAAAGACTCTTTTCCTCCAAAAAAAATTATAAAACTGCTTTAAAATGAATTCTGAAGAGAATTTTTCGTGGTCTTTGTACTTACGTACATATGTATATCGCATAACTCAAAAACGAGTAGCCTCAGAACGTTGAAATTTTGTATATAGGACTGCTATAACATGTAGATGTGCACCTCATATTTTGGTTGTAATCGGCCTCACCAAACCTATATAAGCACTTTTTAGCGTGCGTACTAAAATTTATCTTCTAATTTCCTTAATTTTGCTGCACAATGCGCAAAATTTTTGATCACATAGGTCTTTTATCGTTTGTTCTTTATACTTTACTTTAAAATAATATATATATATATCCACTCTGGTACCGGGCTCACAGATCTCCGTTTGGTGAATCTTAACATTATGGAAACTTGGCAATTTTTTGGAGAAAATTTGGCGGGCAACCCTGCTACAGCAACCTGCTAGTTTCGTTTTGGACGCCATTTTGTTTTCACGAAGTAAAGGCATGTTTTTTTTTTTTTTTTTTTAATCAACATTTTTCCAACAATCTGCTAGCCGAATTACGCTTATACTGGAACTTTTATGGAACAAAAATGCTTAATCATGACGAAGATTAGGTGCGAAATTGGGAGAAAGTGCAGAAACTCAAACTGCTTGCTGCGTTTTTAAGAATTGCACATACACGGTATCCATGTACACGTCGACCTATTTTCACTTAAAAAAACATCCCAGAATTGCACAAAAATGGCATTGCGCACACTCTTCACTTTACCTATGTACACATCGACCTATTTTCACTTAAAAAGGTCAAAGAAAATTGACAAAAATCGAATTCTTCTTACTCTTGTAAAAAGCGCCAAACAAATAAGTGGGCGATTCTGCACTTTAGCAGCGAAATTGTTTCTAAGTGCTTATTAACTAAAATCACGATCGGAATTTTCCGGAAAATGTCACATTACATGTCTCTTGATCTCTCATTTCTCTGAGACAAAATAATCTGTGATTCGAACTGTGTACTTCTCAGATTATTGCTAAAGTCCTAGCTAGTAACCTTTATCGCCTTACCAAAATGTCGCCAAACTACCTGTTACCATATTCTAAAGATTAGCCCTCCGTTTCTTTACTCTTATATGTTTGTAAATTGTGCATTTTTTGCTTTAAAAATTATTGAATTATGTTGTTCGTATCTTCCGGTTAAGGTTTTTATGCTTTTAGGAAATCTACAAGCAGATTTGTAGAATTATCAACAATTTAAAAGCTGTTCAAGTGCGGCTAAGCCTAATTTTTAAATAACATGGCGGACATATTTGTTTAGATTTGAAACAGCAGAATAGTGGATTTGTTGCCAATCTAAAGAGACTAAGCTTTGCAACAACAAAGGGAAGAAAAAAATTTAAGTACGTGGTTCAAAGAATCGAAAGAAAGTTTTTTAAAGGGATTCATGATTGTTGCTGGTTTTTCTTATAACGTCAAGTTAAAAATAAAGAAAGGGCAAAAACATGTCAAGACTAACTCCAAATACTATCAGGAACATATTTTATCGCCAATTTTTCTGAATGAAATACTATCGCTTTACCCACACTGCCATTAATCTGTGAGATCAGCACAAAGCTAGCAGGCACACATCAAAATCCACTGTAAATTTTCTAAAAGAAATGGAACAAAAAACTGGTATCAAACCTTCACTGATATCCCTACTAAATCTCCCCATGTGTCATGCCCTATGGAATTTTGTGCTTTCGGGCTTTTAAAAACTGCATTATCCAAACGTTGTCCCAAACCCTAACAGGACTCTGGAAAGCTGTTCGGGAGGAATGGGATAGAATATCTCTTCTGCTACTTCAAAAGGCATTATTATCCTGGAAATTGCGGTGTCGAAAGATAGTTCAGAATAAGGGATGTCAAATAGAACATTTAAAACACAAGAATTTTATGTAATTTAGTTTTGTGAATACAATATACATCGTCTAAAAAATGTGTGAACAACCTCTGTATTTTGAGTGTTTATGTATTTTTGCCTTGTCGCGAAGTGAGAACTGAATTAATTGAATGATAATTATTGAATCGTCTGTGAAAAACTGCTTCGTTTTTGTTTTGTTTTCTGAATTTCTTTTATACATCGTTTTACATTTATTACAGTATTTGAATAGAACATGTGGCAACGATTAGAGAATTCTTCAAATGATATAAATTTTGTGCATTCTGAGTTATAATATGAACGAAATATAACGCTGTTAAGTGAACCTAGCTCCAGAGTGTCGCTATGGTACACAAATAGAGTGAATTTTAAAGAGTGCATTTATTCTATTGCATCTGATACGATGTCGAAGAAGTAGATTTAATTCCATCCAGTAAGTTTAAATGAAATGCAAGAAAATTGCGTATAATTTAATATTCCGTACAAGTAAGACATGTGAATACATCAGATTTTTCCTTTTTGAGTTGATAGCTAGTTCAATATGGTTAACATTCTAACGGAAAAATTGAGTGAAGGCAAACGAAAGAATGAACGATATCACCTGGTCACTGATGAGCGCGGAAATGAAATCTGTGAGGCATTATAAATATCATAAAGAATTACTGATTCTTTTTCAATTGATTATAAGTTAAAATGTTAAATAATTTAGAATAGAAAAAAATAATTACTGAATCGATTATATTATACGTACAACATCGCAATCAAAACAGTCTGAAAATCAAATCCGTTGCTGGTCAAAATCTGAGGATGATATTATTTACCATGCTTCGCTACTAATTTTTCGATTTTGGAAATTGACAAAGGTGGCCACTTTAATCTTGAAGTACCGTTTAAATTCACAAAGTTTTGTACAAATTCCTCTTGGCTTTGATTCGATAGAACAGAGTTTGTTTACATTTTTAAGTTTCGCAATTAATATTTTTAAATTGTTTTCAAGCATTAATTTTTGTTTTATTTACGTATTTTTTTTAATTTCAGCTCAGCGTGAGGGAAGGTGTAACCTGCTATGAATCACAGGTAAATAAATCACTTTTCTTCCTTAAGTGTTTATTTATATAAAATCAGGCAATAAATGATGATTTTATTTGCAATTAGTTAACATGTTTTTCGTAAGGGTAAGGCCCACCAGCGGTCGCTGAACACTGGTAGTTCGGTCCGAGGTTCGAATCCCGCGAACGGGCTGGCTGCATGGGTGTTTTCGTGGTTTTTCCCATGTGTAACGTGTATACGAGCCAGTTTCCCTTAGAAAGTCCTCCACAAAGGCATCCCTTCCCTTAGGCAGATAGCGCTAGTGTGCTTTGCCATAATTAAAATACACAATACACGCCTTTCTTTTTAAAAAGGCCCACCAGCGGCCGAGCGGTAAAGTCGCTGAACACTGGTAGTTCGGTCCGAGGTTCGAATCCCGCGAACGGGCTGGCTGCATGGGCGTTTTCGTGGTTTTCCCCATGTGTAACGTGTATACGATCCAGTTTCCCTTAGAAAGTCCTCCACGAAAGGCATCCCTCCCCTTAGGCAGATAGCCCTCGTGTGCTTTGCCATAATTAAATACACCAACACCAAATACACCGTAAGGGTAACGAAATAATAGATATTTTCCCTTTTAATATAGCATAACGGAATAAGGGTACTTTCGTATTATCCCGTCTACCAGCCAGGTAGCGCGATTTAGTGCCAATAATGGATGACGTTGTGTTTTAGAATTCCGCAGTAATGACTGGCGACCATTACCGATATTTCTGCCAATGGGGCACCCAAATGTAAACTTTTACCGTCAACAGCATAATCTGTAAATACCTCGAAATAAATTATATTATAGGATTTACAAGCACTACAGTTGTAGATTCTGTCTTGCAGTTTATATATATATATATATATATATACGTTAAACACAAGGCAATAGAAAGAAACCCTAAAGAGAAAGCTAACCCGGAAATATCTCCGATCTCATGCTGAACTAACAACTCGCAACAGCAACAACAACAGCTAAGAACTGATGGTGTCGCTCCGGCCTTATATAGTTTCCACCCGGCCGCCGAGATGTTTCTAGTAATTTCTGTTTCTCGAAACTACCGGAAAGCAATATGAGAGTCGAATTACGGTTGCGCCTAATATAGTGATCAATTACATTTATTCATTTGCAATACCTGTTACGGTGATACAGGGACTCGACCAAAATGTCGCCAAATGGTCAGCAAGTTGACGTCAGCAAAACCATTATCTTTAAAACCGCTGTCAACTTGACGATATCTTTCCAAATTACTGAGATACCCATTTACTCAATGTTAAATAGACTTGCCCCTGCATTTTTGCTTTTCGGGTATAGCTTCTCTCTTAAGATTTTTCGCGTTGCATTACACAGAAAATGCAAGAATTTCACGTATAATTGCATTAAAATTATCTACTTATTACAAAATTCGTAATAATATATGTTGCGCAAAAAAATTATTTAGACCAAATTGGTCTTCCGGTATTGTACTAACTACCTTGCTTGTTAATTATATATATATATATAATAATTAACAAATATGTATATACGTAAAAAACAAATTTAAAGTTAAAATAATTAAAAAATGTGCAAACTATAAAAGATTTAATTTTCGAACTAATCTACAATATCATTTAAAGCATAAGTAATCAAGTGCAAAAAACCAAACCATGAAAATAAATTCACCAATTAAGCAAATTAAAAAAATCTAAATTTTTTTTAAAAAATGCATAAGTGAATGACTGTTGAGCAGGCAGGAGACCGACTTATCAAGGGGAAGTTGCCTCCACACCTAACTCTACAATAATTCATTTCGTGTTTCGTCATTCATGCAGGCAAGGGTAAAAGTCAAAACCAAAAGTAAATACATAGTGAAGATGAGAAATTAGCAATTAAAATAAAGGTATAAAAGGAAAATACCAATAATGAAGTATTTTGAGAATTAAGCAATGTAAGTCTAGTATTAAATTAATTAAAAAAATTTCTTAATTAAATTTTCAGAAAATTAATTAGAAACCCTTGCTACAGAAGCCTCCCCGACACGAATATGCATATCAATCAAAAAAAGAAACTAAAAAGGAAAGTAGACATAATTTATTAGAAACCAATAAGAAACTAAAAAGAACTAATTCATAATTTATAAAAAACAAATAAATACTTAAAAATATAATTACATATCTAAAAATACTTAAATACTACATAAAAAATACTTAAAAGCAGTAATAGTAAGTTTTAATTCTAACTTACCTACCCTATTAGCGTTGGGGTCTGTAAAAGTATTTCCTAAGTGATGTAAGTGTGTTCCGCAAATTATATAGATGGCGCTTATGTAAGTAAAGTTGAGTGCCAAGCTGCTATCTTTGTTTTATTAAAAATTTTGTAAAATTTAATATTAAAATATTTAAATAATATAAATCTAGAAAAAATCAAAGAATATCCTTAAAGTATGTAATTCAAGTTTTAATTTTAACTGACCAACTATTTATGGTAAGGAGTTTAGTAGCTGAGCCAATCAAGAGATGTAAGTTTGCTCTTCAAATATCATAAAAAGAGTACTCTACTTGAAGTAAAGTGGAGTTCAGTGGTTATTGTGAATTAATAAATGTAAACTGTTTGTAAAGTTTGTAAATGTGTGTTGCAAAATTGTGTAAATAATGCAAATAAAAGTGAAAAAATATTTTTTAGTGAAAATTGCAAATTAAAAGGAATAATTAAAAAGTAATTAAGTAAAACTGAAATGTTTAAAATTAAAAAAGTTTTAAAGTAAAATTTTAATTAAAAAAAGTCTTAAAATGTCTTAAAAAAATTCCCCAAATTTTTTAAGTAAAATTTAAATTTTGAAATGAATTCCCAAAGATTTTTTAAAAATTTTTTCCTAAAAATTTCCAAAAATTTAAAAAAATTTTTTATTTTAAATTGAATTCCTTAAAAAATGTTTATTAAAAGCTAAATTTAAAGAAAGAAAATATTGAAAGTTTTAATAAACTTGATTCCAATTGGTATATTAAAACTTTACTAAATACTGGCTAAAGTATGGAAATTTAGAAGAAGATTAAAATCTTCACTCAATTCGGGCTATAATTGAGACTTTTGAAAAGAGTTGGCACTTTATTAGTAAAAGGAAAGAACCCAGTATTTTACTCTTCTATATCCTCCATTACCTTCCAGCTACGGTTTAAGGTAATGTTATCATAACATAAAGAGCCAAAACATTATAAAGTAATTAAATGCCTGCCTTTTTAATATTAAATTAATAAATTTTGGTGGTACTTGGTTATCAACTTGAACATTAATTAGCTTTATTATTTCTTCTTTAAATCTTCTATTTCAGTACATATATTTTTTATTCTGATTATTTTGTTATGAAACGTGTTTTCTATTACTTTTCTAGATATTAGAGTTCCAATTAATTAGCTTAATAGTATGAAAATGGAAAATTCCTTCTTTTATCATATAATTTTAATTTTTGCTGTGTTTAATAATTAGCAGGTCTAGGTATTCACATTATCTTGATTCGTTATTCGTTTTTATTAAGTGTTAAAACTATTTGGGTAATTTTGAATTGCTCAAAAGCAGAATTATTATTGAAAGTTATAATATCATCCATGTATCTAAATGTATGTGCAAATAGCTTTAATTCATTCTTCTTTAAACTTAGTTGGAATTTATAATCATAAGTAAAAAAAAAAAAAAAAAAATAGGTTACATATTTGTGTATAACTGTTTGCCCCCATAGGAATTCCTCTCATTTGCTGATAGATTTTATTATTGAATTTAATGTAGTTATTAAATAATGCACAATTCAGATAAGTATTCCATCTTTCAATACAAAGGATGTCAAGTATGTCAGGAAAAAGTTGTGGGAGTTGCAAATTAAAACTAGTAAAAATTTCTTCTAATGGTAAGAGAGTATAAAGGTTTTCAAAGTCATAGCAGTTAATGTTCTTGATTTCTAAACTTTTAAATCTGCTGAGAACTGGAGCATTATTGTAAATAATCCATCTATAGTTGTAACGAGTTGTTGTTTAACGAGTTGTTGGATTAAATTACAGATTTTTTAAAGTTTAATTGCAAATATGTAATCCATATTCTTTTTATAATTATTTGTACCATTAGCAATAAATCTAAATTGGAATGGTGATTTATGAAATTTTGGGAGATCATATAGATTTGCTAATCTATTGTAGTTAGATGGTTGTGAAATTTGCAGATTCTTATGAAATGCTTTCAGCTTTTTTGCAATAACATTTTCTTGTATATTGGTGAGTTTGTAAGTAATGGCATTATTCAGTTCAGTATTAATTAATGAGACATAAAAAAATTTTCATATTATGCCTAAGTTATTATTGGCTTTGTCAATTTTGGTTATTACGAACTTTTGTTTCAAATCTTGCAATATAGGAATGAGAATATTCCATGGTAAATCGCTATTAAATTCAATCCTTCGACTTCTTTGCTTGAATTCTTCTAATACTTCATGTTTCCAAGTCATAAAGGTAGAATTTGGAATATTTAATTTGTAATTATGAAATCGTTTTAATTATGAAATCGTCGAGATTTTTTTCCGAAACTTCTAAAACTGTGATTTTTGCCAATTGTAACTGTACTGGTCTAAATTTTATGCCTTTTCCATTAAATTTCTTAAAAGCTGGTTTTGAACTATTTTTAAATTGCCAGTAACAATACGTTTATGAAATTCGTCTATGTAGTCTTTGTATTGAAGCTCTTTGCAGTATCAATGGGCTGTAAAAGTTAAATCATGATGGTAAATTAGCAATTTACTAAGAGGTTTTTGATACTTGAAAGCTGGTGAGATTTGTACTTTAGTAGTTGGAAAAAGTTGTTGACTTTTTCTGAAAATTTTGCTAAACTGAATATGATCATAGTTTGGATGAAGGAAATTGATTTTGCAGTAATATTTATTGTATTTGTTATTTGTAGAGAATTTATAATTGCAAAAGTCAATAATAAGGTCTTTGATAATATTGTGCCCTGTAAAATGCTGTTAAACAAATTTTAAAAGTAATTT